GGTCGGCTATTAGAAACAAGTACCCAAACCGAGTGGATTATGTGACGGAAATGTATTGTTGCAAATAAAACACAATGAATGTGCAGGGATGTTAGGGATGCCAAGGATATGGAAGGTCTGCTGAGGAAAGCTGAAGATGGAGCCAGCCCAAGAGAGAGGTCATGTGGGCCATACATGGGTATCCTCGAGGTGGGAGGGGCTGCTGAACTGTGGTTTCAGATGTTGGACACAGAGCTGTGGATCTATCACTTGGTCTCACAGTATCTTGCTAGGCTCCTATCTATCCCCCCCCCTTTCTTTTAGACACCTGAGGTTGTTCTCTGGCCTTCATACTCAGCTACACACACACACACACACACGAACACACACACATACACACACAATAACATTTTCTTACCTTCCTTTATTCTTTCCATGTATGTCTGTATGTACTTATTCATCTGCTGGATGTCTGTAATGACTTCATTCCACACCCACCACTTACTGTGAAATCCATCAATCACATGCCAGTTTTGATGCTGTTCTCGATAAAACTGCCTGATCTCACTGACATTTTTACGGTACTTGGCATTCTTGTAAGCTATAATCTGTGTGCTGTTGTGCAGTGGATAAGGTGTACTAAGAAGGAAACAGGGCAGGGGTGGACAAGTTGTTGAAGGCCTGCGACATCCCCTGTATGCATGGTCAGGGTCACCCCAGTCCCACAGTCCCCTCAGGAAGATTACCTCTGCTCCATCTTCCTCTCGAAGAGCAACCTCTTGAATATCTCCTTGGATGGCACGTCCAACTCAAAGATGACCATAGGAATGATTGACCTCGTCTCCAAGATATTCATCTGGTTCGTGGTTACAGGGTAGCCATCAATGACCACACTAGCAGACAAACAGAAAAACAGAAATTCCACATTCCTTTTTTCTCATAATTCCCTTACGTCTTCCAGAACAGATCTCTGTCTTTGAGTACTCCTAGGCTTTTCCTTATGACACTGATACATTTTTGTGTGTGTTTTCTCTTCCATCTTTACATCTTGACCCATAGTCATCCCTAGACATCAAGGTGGGCAGGACACACATCCACAGCTTTTGGAAGCAGAGGCAGGAGAGCCACATTCATCCATCCATATGCTCCATCAGCACCACACAACTAGGTTTTGGTAGAATTTGAGAAGCACATCTCCTATACCTTGAAAACTCCGTATTCCTGGTGTTATCACTATAAGCAAATACATCAGAATGAATGCAGGCAGGCCTAGATTTGAAACCATGTCTTGTTTTTTAGCAAAATAGGAGAAAATTCTATTTACCCCTTTGGGTGGTTTTAAAGATAGAGAGCAGATGTGAAAAGCAACTGGAAGAGGGCAATGCATGGACCAGATGCTAAGTGAGCAGTCATGTGTGCGCTGGGAGGAGATGCTCTTGCTGTAGAAGACTGGAGAATTTGTGAAGTATTTGGAATGGGGCGCTTGTGAGGCCTGCCACACATGCATGAGAACAAAAATTATGAGAATTACAGCCCAACAGTCAGAGATAACAAGATTGTCTACCAAACTGAAAGGAAACGAAAATTCTTTAAAAATCCAGAAATTCTGAGAGTAGTCTCATAGACAAATCAGAAAGCTGCTCACGTGGCTGGTGGCCATCAGTGAGGATTTATTTGTCTTGAATGACAAATAAATGACAAATGAATGACAGGGCCCACTTGCCAGTGCTCTCCAACGGAGTGCAGGGCCTAGCTAGAAGTCTCCAGCAGAGAGGGTAAATGACACAGCCAGCTCACTGTAGTCTGCAAGAGAGTGACATATTGCTTTCTTTTGAACAATACTTCTTTCTACTGGGAAAGGCCACTTGAGTGGCTCTCAGGATTGGGGAAAAGAAGCTAGGGTGGCTGAGCAGCCTTCATCCTGGGATTAAGGTGGAATAATCTGATACTCAACCAAAGTTGTCCTCGTTGAGGAAAGCTAAGCCCCAGAGAAGAAATAACTCAGTGTGGATATGCCCCTGCTTCTCCCAAAGGCTGTCACCCAAGAGTGCTCCCAGCCCTGAAACTAGAGGAACTAACTCTTCGATGACTTGACTCAAAGCCACCTGCAGAGGAGCCAGGGGTTCTAAGTATATAATGATCGTGACTAAGCCAGGGGATTCTAGTGACCTGGATTCCAGATCAGAGAGCACTGGCGTTCGCTGAGGTGTGACCAATGGCTGTAATAGATAAGAAGAAAGATCAGCAGGGGACAATGAACTGAGAACGAAGCCACGTATCCAGTGTTCCTGTCTGAATATGGCATTACAGGAGGGGCACGGCTCTCTTTACAGGACCTGGGCCTGAGAGGAACCATGTGCCTGGGACCACATCACCCAAGAACTAAAGAGGGCCCTTCCACCCTTCCATGGAGCAGCAAGAACTACTGGGGTAAGAAAGTCACGGTGGCCTCATCTGTGGACCATGCAGCAGTTGCTGAAGGGAGGAATGAGGTCTTTGGGCTAATCTGCAATGAGTTCAAGCCATGAGTCTTGACAGGAAAAGAGAATGTTTCCATATTAAGTGCTCAGTCTGAGAAGCAGATTGTTCTCCTCCAAACCCGTCTACAGGCCTTTTTAAATAACTACAAGCACCCTGGCAGTTACACCCTCTCCCCTTTCTTCCGCCCCAGCTCCCTTACCCTATAGTATTGCACACACTTTCCATCAGGGAGAGGTCTAGAGCTTGAATAGCAAGTGCATCCGGCACTGTCATTCCCTTGTGCAGGTGCCAGTTGATCATGAGTGACAGCTCTGTATCTGGGTGATTGCTTAACATGCTACGCAGCGCGGCTCCTACTGACAGACGTTTTAAGCCATATTCACTTGCAAGCTTCTTGGCAACTGGAAAACACAAAACACGAAGCCTATTTCAGTTCACACATTCGTCAGTCAACCTTGCTTTCGGATTCTGGCCGATGGCACCAATAGCAAGCTTTATATTCTTCAAAGAATTGTCAATGCTGTTAGCTTTACTTCAGGCTTGTGACTTTAGAATCTGGTTAATGAACCAGCTGGGTTTGTTTTGTTTTCTTTTTAAGGAAAAAATGAATTTATTTTTATTTCATGTGCTTTTTAGTGTTTTGTCTACAGTGAGGATATCAGATCTTGGAGTTACACACAGTGATGAGCTGCCCTGTGGGTGTTGGGAATTGAACCCAGGTCCTCTGGAAGAGCAGTCAGTGTTCTCTGCAACTAAACTCTCCAGTCCTCAACCACCTTCTTCTTCTTCTTCTTCTTCTTCTTCTTCTTCTTCTTCTTCTTCTTCTTCTTCTTCTTCTTCTTCTTCTTCTTCTTCTTCTTCTTCT